ATATTTTGTTTCCTTCTTTAGAAACGTTGGATGTGTGTACCACCTATTGTATGTATTCATTGTATTGTTTTTAAGTGGTATAAGGGGTTCCCACTTAGGTGGTTTTTCGGCTGTTTCAGCTGTCACACACACTTTCTTTACTGTATCTCTATCACTTTATTGATTTGTCAGCAGCAATATCACTTGTCAGGGGTCTTTGAGAATTCTGCAAAGTCCCCAGACTGTAAAAGTGCCGCTTTTAACTCCTAAATGGAAGAGAATTGAGCAGCGAGACAGCAGCAGTACGATCTATACACCAAAACCGCTACATTAAGCTAAAGTTGTTTTGGTGACTATAGTGTCCTTTTAAATGTGTCCAATAGAATGACAAACTGTTGCATTACAAATAACCAGCGTCACGGGTGAAAGCTGGAGAACGGGAGCCACGGTCCACAAGCTGCACGACGCCAAAATAAAACGCTGTCAATTCGGCAAAAACGTTAGATGGCTGGGGAGTACCAATTTATCTCACCAAGCACACATGATGCATAGGTGAACGTGGGAAGAGTTTTGGAACTAAACTGTAATCTAGAAACAACATGTGGAGCCAGGAGACGAAAACGGCAATCGGTAACCTAAAGAGGAAAGGCAGGAAAATCTGGAGCCGATATTGGAGCTGTTACTCGCATCCAATAAGCAGCATAAAAGGAGTTGTGAGTAACTACAATCCCTCACTAGTATTACCCAAAACAGAGTACATCTATGGATTAATCTAAAAAGGTGCAGATTTCCAACATACAATGGTTACTGGTGCATTGCACATATAACCTGGAACGCATACAAGTTTATTAATTTCATTTATACTGCTGTTTAATGTATAAATTAGCCCCCGAATGGGAGTTTGAGATATTATACGAATACCTTCTGTAAAAAGAAAAAGAGGATTAATTAATTGGGCAGGTGAGGGAGAAAACTCCCACAGAATCAAAAAGTGCTTCTTCAAAACTGTGGAAAAGAAAGGGATTTAGGCGTGTTTCACAGAAAAGAGATGCCCTATAAGTTATAACCTGCAAATACTTTTAATATACAAAGATCTAAAAAGGAAGGAACCCAATTAGGATATCCTAATCAACCGGGCTGCTGCGGGAGAAAAATCTCAGAACTGAAGGTGCATCATTAAACCTGTGAAAGGGAACTGAAACCAGTGTGCTACACATGAAAAGTGATGCCTTAAAAAAAACAAAAAAAACAAAACTATAATCTGCATGAATATCAGCTCCAACAAGCCATATTAGTAGTTTGGCTCTTGGAAAGATTGATTAGATTTAAAGAACCTTCCTTCTAATCAGGGAAATAGATATAAGGGAAGTAATCCCCAAGCAAAAAAGGAAAGGAGATAAAGAAAAAACAGGATAAAGAAAATTGGTCAAATTCGCCCTTCGAAAACATCAAATCCTTCCCTGTCAGCTTTCACCTGGCAGCCTCGTAATTGCAGGAAAGATAAACTGATTAAATCTTGGTAACTGGTGCCATGCAATTCAGCAAAATATTTTCTTTAACATTTGGCCTCCAGTGTATCCCTGGAAACCGCATGTTTCACAAAATCTTCAATCTCTAGCGTGACTGCCCATTAAACCTACACGCAGTCATGTATCACCTCCAGATTCCTAACCATGCAGCTCTCCTATCCAAAAAGGACAACATATGGAGGCTGAAAGACAATATATTTCAGACAACCCCATGACTGTTATTTTTACCTATGTGACGGCACTAGCGCACACTTACTGTTTGCAAGAGTAACCTTAAAAAAGGTGCTGACGGCAAGAGAATGCCAGATAGGGTTACTCCACCGCACTCCTGATAATAATGCACAAAAATAGGATAGTCAAAGATGAAAGCTTATTTTTTCATTCCCTTTTAGAAATTTTCTTCACATTTTGAATTCATTATTTTCAAAATATGTTCAAAAGGAAAAGTGTGCCAACTCCAGTCTGAGATGTCCTGTTGACCCAGTCTGGCAGCTGTTAATGGCTAAGCATTGCTCTTAATCCTGCTTCCTGATGAGTAGGTCTCATCAAAATGCACCCCAACCGAACCGGTGTGTCTAGCTGCTATTACTTTCTTTACTTAAAGAGTGTTTGAGTGTGCTCATGGCAGACATCATTTAACATGACTGTAGAACCTTTTCCTTTGAATTGCTCTTTATAAATAATCCAAAATGCATTGTCATTTTGTGAAAGATCAAAGTTGGTGCAATGAAAAGCAAACTTTTTATTTTAAATTATGAAAACAAGTTATGTAAACAGCAATGTTTTTGAATACATATATACGACCCTTACTTAGTGGCCACGTATACAAATATTTTAAAAGTATAAATATTTTCCAACCGCCATGGAAAACAGAAGTTTGGAAATACCATAAATTGTTCCACATATTTTAAAAAATATAAAGGAGAGAGATATACAATGAGACGGAGATTAGACTGGGTGTTAGTGAATGTCATTACTAAAAACTAATTATACTACACAGCGGTACTAGTGAGGAGCTATTCCAGGGTCGGAAAACATGCCACAATCCAACTAACACTTCCTCAAAAACACAATTTTAGAACTTGTGTTCAGTCATACTGGGAAGGAACGATTGCACAGCAAAGAAGAGATCAGAGCTGATTCAACAGGTTACTTTATAGAACGGTTATAAGAAAGCTTGGATAAAATGGGAGAAGACCACCCACCCAATGTAGCACAGAGTCAGAAACACTTTACCTGATCTGGTCCAAGTCTATAAACAAACAAATCTCAGTTATAAAAGCTATGTGTGGCTACAAATCGCACAGCTAATAGAAAAGTAAACAAACTGTTCATGTTGCAAGATAATTAGAAATTAGCATATGTCATGAATGGTAAAACCACGAATAACAACCACAAGCATTCTAACCTAAAAATGTCAGCTTGAAATTATACAGTCAAACCCAGTCTGGCATCAAAAGATTTATTATAAAATACTACAACATTTTGCAACTTCATCAATATTTCAAATGCAAAAATCACACACTCGATAAACCCAATTTCATCATCACAGTGCAAGTCATTGACAATGATATAAAAATAATCCATTCCCTTTTACATTCTAACCTTTAATGTCTGCATGAGCAGGGTCACTGACACTTAAACCCTTTCTTCGGCCATAATGAACCCATAGCTGGGACATTAACCCTATCCTTGCAAGAGAGCTGATTCTCCTAACATTTAACACCTTCACTGTCAGAGAAAGACCCTCTATTTTTCTCTCTTTCTTATCTCCAAGTCTGACAAAGAGACACCACACGTAGAAAAAATAAATAAATAATTTGTTTTTAAAATGACCCATTCCTATCAGAGTTAACAAAGACATAGCATAAGGGTATCACCCTGGTACCTCTCTAGCATGTTATCATTAATCGTTCTGATATTTATCTTGTTCGTTACAAAAACGTCCACTGCTGCCCTGCCAAGTAGACACCACCCCATCAGGAAATGCAAGCCCAATAATTTCAAAATAGTAATTTCATGAGAAAACATTTTGGATTACAGCAACACAAAAATAAACAAACATAAAACGCCTCATACCATAGAGTTATTGGTGGTGAGAGAATATAAATAATTCTTCAATATCCATATCGTTATTACACCCTGGTCAGCAAGTTACACCCCGCTCTAACTCTCTGAGATACAGCTCAGGATTACACCTTGCTCTACCCATGATTTTGCTTTTTTCTTAAAACCTGCTCTACCCATAGATGATCTAGCCCTATATTGAACCCGGCTATACCCCTTCTTGGTCCATTTTAAACCTAGCTACACCCCTCTATGATCTTGCTCTATATTAAACCCTTTTCTACCCCTCGATGATCTTGCTTTATATTAAACCCAGCTATACCCCTCTATGAACTTGCTCTACATGAATCCCAGCTATACCCCTCTATGAGCTTGCTCTACATGAAACCTAGCTATACCCATCTATGAGCTTGCTCTACATGAAACCCAGCTATACCCTTCTATGAGCTTGCTCTATATTAAACCCAGCAATACCCCTCTATGAGCTTGCTCTATATTAAACCCAGCAATACCACTCTATGAGCTTGCTCTATATTAAACCCAGCAATACCCCTGTATGAGCTTGCTCTACATTAAACCCAGCTATACCCCTCTGAGTTTGCTCTACACGAAACCCAGCTATACCCCTCTATGAGCTTGCTCTACACGAAACCCAGCTATACCCCTCTATGAGCTTGCTCTACATGAAACCCAGCTATACCCCTCTATGAGCTTGCTCTACATGAAATCCAGCTATACCCCTCTATGAGCTTGCTCTACATGAAATCCAGCTATAGCCCTCTATGAGCTTGCTCTACATGAAAACCAGCTATACCCCTCTATGAGCTTGCTCTATATTAAACCCAGCAATACCCCTCTATGAGCTTGCTCTATATTAAATCCTGTTCTCCCCGTCTAAGATCAAGCCATATATAAAATCCCTGCTCTACCCCGTAAGAGACTGAGCTCTGTATACACCTTGCTTTCTACATTTCACAGGCTCATACATATTTCATTAGGGTTATTCACCAGAGCGCACCCGACTTACCAATTCTGCAGTTTTGTCATTTCATTTTCACTTTAAAGTCTCTTTAGTAAATAACCCTGTATGACTGACTCCCTGCTCCCTATTAAACCCTGTTCTATACATTTTATACATTTGACTCCCTGCTCTGTACATTTTACTGGCAGTCACATATCCCTGCCTGTGACACCCTGCTCTGTACATTTTACTGGCAGTCACATATCCCTGCCTGTGACTCCCTGCTCGGTACACTGTGCTGCCTGTGACTCCCTGCATTGTGCTGCCTGTGACTCCCTGCTCGGTACACTGTGCTGCCTGTGACTCCCTGCTCGGTACATTGTGCTGCCTGTGACACCCTGCTCGGTCCTGCCCCAGATCTTGGTACATGTGACAGGATCCCCCCAGACAGCTGGGCCTGATACAATGAGGGAAGGCCGGGTTCGGGGCCCCCGGGAGCCTTTGTGTGGGGCCCTCACTCACCCATCTTTCCTCTTGGCTTTGTACACATGCCCGTAGGTGCCTCTGCCAACTTTGCAGCCCTCGTACTCAAACAGGTCCTCCACTCGCTCCCTCTCCCCTGTCAGCTTCACCTTGAAGTCATAGTCCATGTCGAGCGGCCGGTGTGGGAGGCGCAGAGGCCGGGGGAAGGTGCAGCATGTACAGCCCGGCCCGTGGACAGAAGCTGCACGATCCGCAGCTTCACAACAGCCGGTCTCAGACACTCCGAGACACCGTAAAGCGCCGCCGCCGCCGCAAGGATGCCGTAAAGGAAGACCGTCCCCGCCCCTTCTCCTGCTGCAGGCCACGCCCCCTCCGCTCAGACAACAGAGCCAAGCAGAGCGTGGCTGCCACCGGGGTGACCTGGGCTGACCCCTGACCCTGGGAGAGGGAATCTAACAGGGGAGGGGGGCCTGAATGTCTTCAACCCCCAAACTGAGGCTCTCAGAGTGCACTGAGCACAGTCTAGGCCACAGCAGCTAGAATGGCCTTGGATGGCTGGGCAGTATGGGAGTGGTAGTCCTAATCAGGTAGAAGGAGCTATGGCAATGCTTAGTGTGACACAGCTGCCATTAGGAAGCCAGTGATCAGAGGGGAATACAGGCTAACCCCTCACAGCTCACTAAGGAATTGCTGCCAGTATTATTATTGTTATTATTAGTATAAGTATTTATAAAGCGCCAACAAATTCCGTAGCGCTGTACAATGGGCGGACTAACAGACGTGTTTGTAACCAGACTAGTTGGACGCACAGGAACAGAGGAGGTTGAGGGCCCTGCTCAGAGAATAAAAAATAGAAAACAAGTAAATTAAGTTTTCTGATCAGCTATTTGTGCAATCCCCTAAAGAAATTCTTACAATTCATGGTTTAGTGATAGGATTAAACATAAGGCAACCTAGGGCCCAGGGGTTAGACAGGGGACCCAGAAACATAAATGTGTGTACCATCACTATGTAGAGAACGAAGGGGGGGCCCAATGCGGTGCCCTGCTTAGGGCTATGTGGGATCTTAATCCTTCTCTGCTGACTATGGGCTAGAGCTAGATTGTATTATAAGAATTAACCCATTAACTATGGCAATCGTGAGCATGTCAGTGCACATGAGCCAGTGAAACTGTCCAATCAAATGCTTCTCAATAAGAAGCATTTTATTGGATCACGAAAGGGCATCGGTGGAGGTATGGAATCCAGTGAGGGAGCTTCACCTGGCACTGGATTCCAGGTAAGTTTACAGCTTCTTTTGCAGATTTGTATGGGGCGGGAACCTAATAAACATGCCCAGTTAAACATTCAAAAGTAAAAAAAAAAAAAAAAAACTAACTTTTTTTGGTTTGTTTTATTTTTACAAAGAGTTATATTCATCCTTTACCCAATCACAGAATACGCATCTATTCACCATAATTCTATATTCAGTATTTTTAATATTGCAAATTTATTTTTTGCAAGCATAGTTTCTTTACAATATGTTGCCTATTGAAGTCTCTGGCACTACCACTAGCGCTGACTCTGTGAAGAAAACCATGCAGCGGCTGGAGGTAATTCAGTCAGACCAGCACTGTGCTGCTTACTTGATTGAGGGAGTAGCAGGTCTGCACCTTCAGTGAGTGCAGATTACTGCCAGTGCCCCCTTCCATTCATAGACTGTAAGTGAGTATTGTCGGTTGCCTTAAATATTTAAGTAAATACTGGTTTGGGATGCAGGAAATAGAAATATAGCTTCCCCACACACACAGTCACCCTCTGACTCCCAAACACCAGAAGTCACCCCTTACATGACCCCCCCCCCAGTCTGTGGCACTCACCTTGCCATAGTCACTCATACATACATAGGTAGCCACACTCTTGCACACACATTCACCCTCATACATAAACACACCCTTACAGGCAACACACAACCTCACTCACCCTGTCACCCACCCACTCACACTATTACAGTAACCTCTGCAGACAGTGACCGTCATACACACACACGTTCACCCATCAAACATACAGAAAAAAGGGTTTTTGGGAGGCACACCCATGCATTTCTCAATACTGGTGCTGCCCTAAAGAACAAAATATATGCAAAATAAACACAACACAGCCTTGCCATAAACATAACTTACACATCAAGACCACGAGCATACTGAAATTAAAGACATTTAAAAATTACTTTTCAGAACAACCAAAATACTCAGAGCCATTTCGTGTTTTTTTTTTTTGTTTGTTTGTTTAAAAAAAATGATAAGTTTACCCTTCTGCAATATCAATGATAATTTCATTCAGCCAAGGCAATAGTGTTTGGCTGAGTGTGCTGAGGCAGGTTACCCAGCTATGTTTCCAGGTTGGTTGGATTTGGCGTTGATAAAGCAGGGTGGTCTCCAGGTTTTGTTCAGAGTCCCAAGCTTTGTCAAACTGTTCCTAAACTGGGCCAGCTTGGTGTAGTGATTACGTTTCCTGCAGAGTCCCTTAAATTTTCTTTTTTTTGTGTGTGTAATCTATCTTTATTAAGTTTTCAAGTTCTGAAAAAAAAGTTAATGAGCCAGTGAATTGCAATGGCTGTGTTTTCTGCAGAGCTGCAGAAACTGGAAGCGCGTCACAAGACCAACAGGGAGTCTCGGAGCCCAGCAGGGACCCAGGTAAGAGGGAATATAGTTTGTAAACTTTTTTCCCCAGCAGGCTGTAGTGGTTATGATGCTTGAAGTAACCCTTTAAGGGAGGCCATTATAACAGATTCATGGGAGAAGTCCATGCGTGACCAGAATAATTGTAGTGGTTTCATGAATGGTAACTATTAGGTAACATTATAAGAAAGTGCAGTATCTTGGCATCAGTCTGCGCCACTTTGGGAGGCAATGTTTTCCATTGTCTCGCAATATATGTGTGCCACTGAAAAAAATAATAATTTTAACACCCTCTTTTCATTCTATGGTTTTAAATATCAGGACATAATAACAATCATCTGTTCATCAGCAGGTCTTAGAATTAGGTAAATACAACCTCGATGAACAACACATGACATATTACACAGTGTCATGATCTATTTAAAAAAAATAAAGCCAAAATCAAGAAGCCATGTGTGAAAAACTAAGAACACCTTATGATTCAATTGCATGTAGAATGGGCTTTAGCAGCAATAACTTGAAATAATCGTTTTTTTGATTGCTTTATCAGTCTCTCACATCGTTGAGGAGAAATTTTGGGCCACTCCTACAATGTTAATTTAGGTCATTCAGGTTTGCTGGCATTTATGTATGCACAGCTCTCTTAAGGTCCCGCCACAGCATTTCAATTGTGTTATCTGCATGTAAAACAGATAGAGAGGGTATAATGTTAAAACCCAGGAGTCACTAAGCTTAAACAGCGTGTTAAACGTGGGTCTGATAGTACTATCCACTTACGAGATGTAGAGCCTAGACTTGGCTCTAATATATGTGCACAGCACTAAAATTCCCCAGTTGGAACTTTGGCTCAGTCGGTCGGCTGTAAACTCCCTTCCTCGTCTGAATCTCTCTGAATTTTGGTTATAAAAAATGCATCAATTCCCTGGTGTGTATAGAGGTATGTAGGAATAAAACAAATAAAACAAGAATGTTCGTAAAACTGGAGGGTATGATGAACACATAAATATCCCTGCTACTTATGGGTTTTTTTGACGGCAACCTTCACTAATCGTTACCCGGGAGCACTGCTGTACCCTACACATGCACCCCCGATTCTGGGCAGTCCTTCTAGAGGCTTGCGGCTGACGCTGAGACTCCTGTTTATCTCCCCCCCGCCCCCTTTGGACGGTGGATGTGATCCTGGTTTCCACTGATTGGCTCCACTCATCTCGCTGACCATACGCAGTCGACACTGCTGGCGTTTAGACCACAAGGCTACTCTTCAAAATGGCAGACATGCCTTCTACTCCTAAACTTTAGAAAATGCCTGAAGTGCAAGCTGGATGTACTGCACTGGACCACATGCTGATGCATCTGGATGAGGTTTTCGCCTGTTTCTGAGCGCAGCTTGAAGCTCGAATCATGGCAGCAACACAGAGCCGGGAAAGTTGACGGAAGAGTGAAGGTGAAGGGGTCCGTGAGACACCTCCTGACTCAACTCCTTGTCAAGCAGTTAAGATCCCCTTGCTGAACCCGCCTGGGTCGAGAGCCACCATGGATATCCTCCCTAAGCATCAACCAAGGAGGCAGAAGACCCAACGCCACAGGCGCCGAACATCCATCCAGGGCTTTTGCCACATCCCGTTAGGGAAGGACTTGGACTCAGCCGTGAGTCCGTGGTATACTGATGCAAGCCCTCAACACAGCCCAGGGCTGGAGGAAAGCCATGCTTAGCCCCCTCCTTCAACTGACTCCAGGCCACTCACGCAAGTCCCCAAGTCTAGGAGTTGGCTGATGCTGAACTTTAAACCCACGATCCATGGTCTATAATCACGGTCTGCGGAAGGTCTCTAGTGATTACCCATGTCATCTTTATTTTTGTTTAAGTTCTCTTTAATCTTTGTTTAATGCTTACTTTACCTATGTGTCCTATACATTGCAATGATTTACTAGAGGGTTGTTTTTACAGGGCTATATCTGTGTGCCTGTCAACCCTATATCGAGCCAATTACAGTTACTCCTTGCCTTTACACTTACTTAATAACCCTGGACATAGCATTAAGGCCTACCCTAGTCTCCCCTGTACCGTGATAGTGTCTGGTGGCTCAGTGGTTAACTTCTCAAGTAACCCTAACTTAACATACTGAAATCTCTTTTATGTCTAGCTCATGTCACTTCTCTATGACTGTATGTTTGCCTATACTGCATATATAGACAGGCTTACCTAGCTTTATTTAACATGCTTTATTCATTTAAAAAAAAACTGAAGCTGCCATATCTAGGAGCTTGCTCCATTGTGTTCTGATAATCTTGTACTTGTGTAAGCCTGACCTAACTCCTCTTCGTTTCTGTCTGACCTGAATCAAATGCCTCAATAATAAAAAAAAAACAGATTGAAAAAAAACATATATGTATAAAAGAAGTGCAAATATGTATTATTATTATTATTATTATGTTATTATTTATATAGAGCCAACAAATTCCGCAGCGCTTTACAGTGGGTGGACGAACAGACATGTAGTTGTAACCAGACAAGTTGGACACACAGGAACAGAGGGGTTGGGGTAAAGTTACACAAAAGGTAAGGAGACTAATGACAGTTGCAAGAGAGGAATCAGTTAGGGAGCTATTAACAGTTTAATAGATACGCTTTTATGAAGAAGTGGGTTTTTAATGATTTTTTTGAAGGAGTGGAGACTGGGTGAGCATCTAACGGAGGAGGGAAGTGAGATCCACTGGAATAGTGCAGCCCTGGAGAAGTCTTGAAGGCGAGCATCAGAGGTGGAAGTACGGACAGAAGATAGAAGTAAGGGGGGGCGGAGTTTGGCCACCACCTTGAAGAATGGCCACCACCTAGGGAAGCTCCTGAGACATTGGGACCATTTAGTTTCATAAATACAATTTGTAATCCGCATGTAACAATTTCAAGTACATAGATCTGCATAAGAAACACTGTACATCATGATGCAGAAGCAAAATAATATTGAAAAAAAGCTTCTGCAACCAAGAGG